AGATTTTGAGAACTGAGTTGAATTTATTTAAAAAATCTCACTAAAATTTCCCTTTTTCTGCTGTTTTCCTTTAGATCTTGTGCCTCATCCCACTTAAAAAAAATTCTTTATTTTACTACTATTAGATAAACACATATTGATCTTTAATTATGTGCCAGACATGGTTGTTAAGGATAGAGTAAATCCCAGCCTCCAGGGAGTGCTGCCTGTGCCCTGGGAATCCGGACCAAAAACCAGCCAGTGCCCTTTATGCGGTGATTCTCAACAGGGCCAATTTGCCCCCAGGAGACATTAGGCATTGGCATTGTCTGGAAACATTCATCATTGTCACAACTGGGTGGGATAGGAGACAATGCCACTGACCTCCTGCTGAGTAGAGGCCAGAGATACCTTTCAGCATCCTACAGTGCATGAGACTGACCCCACAACAAGGAATGATCTGACCCAAAATGTCAGTAGTGTCAAGGTTGAGAAACCTAGGCTTAGTGTGATAATTGCTATATTAAAAACAGCAGCCATGTTTTTAGGGTTTTTTTTGGGCCAGGCACTGGCCCGTGGTAGAGGTGTATGCACATTACTATTGTCCCTAGTTGGTTTAGGGGACTGGGAAAGCTGAGTTGAATCTGAGGACAGGAAGAAGAAGGAGGAGGGGATAGGCATACCATGCAGAGGGAGTGCAGTGGGCAACCACCTGGAGGTGACAGGGACATCTGGGGATCTGCAGGTTGTTCATTATGATAAGAAAGGAGAACACTAGAAAGAGAGAGAGGAAGTCAAGAAGAGGGTGTGGAAGTAGCAAACTGGAAGCTGGAAAATGGATGGCTTTGCGTGCCATGCTTCAGCATTTAGTGTTTGTTTAAAGGCTGCAGGAATCCAAAAAGGTTTTAAGTGGGCTGTTACATGTTCAGATTGGGTTTTTGGAAGGGTATCTTCAGTGTTTTAAAGAGAACTAATTGGAAGGTGATGGCTAGAGATAAAGAATTGATTCGGAGGCTGTGCCAATCATTGAGGTAAGAAACGAGCCAAGGAAGTGACAGTAGGGATGGGAAAATAGTTGAATTTCAGAGATATTAAGGAGGTCAAATCTGATGGTTTGGGCACTGGGGAAGGGAAGAGTGAGGACTGGGTCACTGATTTCTGATCTGGGCAAGTATAGATAGAACTCATGTACTCCTTCACCAAAGGGAGCAGTGCAGTCAACAGCGACTGCATCCAACCTCAGGGCAGCATCTTGAGGGGATGGCTGTCATTTCCATCAGCTCTGGATGCAGCCCCTTATGGGGCAGAGGTTAATAAGCCTAACATCCCAATATGTCCAGCACACTGAGATGGAGAGGGAACAGGGCTGCAGCAATAAAAGCCTCTTAATGGGAGGAGAGGAAAATGGAAATACTCAGTAGCTACTGTTTCACATCCTGCTGGGGAATAACAGGACCCCTGCGCACCTGGCCACAGAGTGAACTCCTTGGTTTTGTTGTCTGAGGGGATCTCTTTTTGTCTGTTGTCCTTTGTAGCTCATCTGGCAGGGTGTGTAATTCATGTTTCAGCTTAGATGTCACCTCCTCAGAGAAGTTTTCTTTGTGCTCCCGGTATAAAGAAGGCATCCCGTTTTTTAATTGCTCCATTGTAGCTATCGGCAGGGCACCATAATTATCTGCAGTTATCTAATTCATTTACTTGTTTTACTTTTTTCTGCCCTTCTCACTGGAATATCAATTTATGAGGCTAGGAGGGGCCTTGGCTGATGCGTTCCCTTTGAATCCTTAATACCTGCAATGATATCTGGCCCAACATAGTTTTTGAAATAACATGTAAATGAATGAGAGATTTATAGAATGCTAAAGGAGGAACAGGTTTCTTTTATTTTCATTTGATTTTTGGGGGAGAGGAAGATGAATTCAGTTTTGGATCTGAGTTTTAGGAACATTTATGTACAGATGTCCAATAGGCATTATCCATGCAAGTCTGAAGCTCAGGAGGGAAATTAATTACAATAAAGTCAGCTAACGCTTACTGAGCCCTTGTGACGTGCCAGCCTCTGTTCTTAGCATTTTGCTGACCTTAGCAAAGTGGAGCTGTAGATTTACAGAGGCAGAAGTTGAAACTCTAGAGTGGGAACGTTCAGAGTGTGCATGAGAAAATAGGGAAAAACCCTGGGGGGCACTGGTATGTAAGAGATGAGCACAGAAAGAGGCACCTCTCAGAAGCAGCAACCAGAGGGGCGGAGTTTGGTGTCTAGGAATCCAGAGAGCAGGTGCAAGGAGAGCTTACTGGATGTCTCAGCCCTGAAAAGTGTCTCTGGACCTCAGCATCGAAGAAATGACACCTGGGAATAGCAGTCTCAGGAAACACTGGGGAAAGGAGCGAGGTTAAGGGTTCGAGAATTTACAGATGCCATTGAGAAAGAGCTGGTAGAGAGGGAGAGTTTGAAAATGCAGGAAAGGGAGAAAATGATGACTGTGTGACGTTGGGGCAGGTGGGAGTTGATGGCAACCGGAGCTTTGGTGGAGGAATGTCCTCAGACATATCTTTTAGTTGGTTTCTTTGTATTTCCCATGAATCTTCTGATTTTCTTGTTCTTTCATTTTCGCACTGGAAAAGGAGGCAGTAGAACCTTATTGACTGCCACGTTCCTTGCCTACTCAGGACATAGTGGGGCCTGGTTGGCCATAGCTACTGACTTAGTCGCAAGCGCAGAGGTTTTTTGCACTAGGGTCAGCTATTAGTTTTGTAATTTCCCAGTTAGTGGGGCTTCACATGATTGCATTTTCGTTTATTTCCACTAAGTCTCTAGGAAATAGATTTCTAATTGGCAAAGTAAAAAGTAAAGATAGTGTTTTAGAATATGTCATTCAAATAGAAAGTATCCTCTAGTTTCTTGATATGTGGATTCTACAATTTTTAACCTTGTTTGAGATTTTTCTGAATTTATATCTAGTTTTAAAATGCCCATAGATAATGGAGTCAGGTAATATAGAAGATAATGTATTTTTTTGCTTTGGCTTTTGAAAGAAAATACATTTATTAGAAAGAATTTAAAAAAAAATGAGCTGCTGATTTATTTATTCGAAGAATTTCCCATAATGTTATAGATTCTGGAGATTAAGAAGCCATCTCTTTTGATAATCTTTTTAAAAAAATGTGAACAAATTATATGATGTCATGTGAAAAAAAATCTACAAAAATAGATAGCTGTAAGTTTTTCTTTTAAAAGTATCCTACTTCGTCATAGGTTATTGTTATTCTGTCTGCAAAGTGAAGCATGTTCAGTTGAGGTATGCTGACCAGACATTTGGTTCTTGCTAAGACACAGTGTATGCAGATCGGGGTGGGGAAGGAGGATGATTCAGGAGAGACATAGTTGGTAAAATGTAACTCAGATTTTCATTAATATCATTCAGTATGTGACTCAGACAGGAGCACTTAGTTCCTTCAAAGATTAAACCTTTCGGTGTTTCTCAGCTTTTGTTGGCAGGACTTCTTACTCTTAATATTTATTGAAGACCTGCAAGAACTTTTATGTTATATTGATCAATATTTACCGTATTAGAAATTAAAACCGATAAAAGTTTATTATCTATATTAATTCACTGAAAAAGACCAATAAGAGATTCATGAATGTTTACATAGTGTATTTTTATGAAAAATAACTTTTTAAAAATTTAGTGAGAAAAATGACATTGCCGTACACTTTGGTCAATCTCCTTAATATCTGGCTTAATTGAATTCAGCTAGATTCTGAAATCGGCTTCTGTATCCAATCTGTCATTTGGAATATTTCACTCTAAGTCATTAGAAAATGAGAGTAAAAAAAGAGGCAAAGTATGTCTTAGTATTTCTGAGAAAACAATTTTGACTCATGGACCCTTGAGGGTTTCCAGAACCTCCAGGGGTGGGTGGTCGGGGCGGGGGACGGTGGTAAGGGGTAGGCAGGGTTTCCTGGACCATGCTTGAGAACCACTGGGATAACTATACATTGCTTGAGGGCAGACACCATCGCCTTGGTTTCCTTTCTTCTGTTCCTTGGGGCCTGGTAAAGTATTCTTTATCTCAACTCCTCAAATGGGTCCTGATTCAACTTTCCCCCATAAAATTCCAGGGAAAGGAACCATCCTGTGAATCAGGACCGAACTTCCTTTGCAGGATGCTTTTCCCCTTAATTAGTCATAGTGTAAGAATTCATCTAAGTCCTTTGACTCAGAAGCCATAGAGGTGCCACTGGACAGTTTTCACTGTGTCCGACGATGTTATAGACTGGCTACAAATCAGGATAAGACATTTGGAAAAATATTTCCTTTTCGGTACAGTGAAGTCTAGGAAGTCTTGGAGGTTGCTGGGAGAAAGAAGCTAGAATTGTTTCTTAGAAACAGAGTGGATGAGTCTTTGCAGAAGTTTTAGGGGACCTGGCTGGCACATGGGCTCCACTCCGCTCTTCAGGAAACATATGTGCTCTTCTAGTTTGCATTTTCTGTACCAAGGCAAGTGGCAGGTGGCCTGAAGAGCGAGTGGGAAGCAATAATCAGCTCTCCAAGTAACAGCATTTCATTTGCCAAATGTTATGTTAATGTTCTCCAAACTTATGGTAAAAATATGCAAACTTAAGCTGAAAATATGCATACTGTTAGTATTAAGTTTTCAGACTTTTGATAAAATGTAGGTAAACAGTATCAAAAGGTATCTTAAAAATTATGTGGTAAATTTTGCATAAAAGTTAAGTATACAACTTACAATATTTACACTGGGGCAAATTTATCTGCTACGTTAAGAAAAATATGAATATAGTAGCATAAAAGCAGTTGCTTTTGCATTTGACTTGCAAAAAAATGGAAGCAAAAACATTTTAAAAACAGCATGAATTTGTCTGCTTTATCTGAATGAGTAGTGGCATTTTCTAACTGCTTGCCTCTTGGGCACGTAAGTCATCATGGTATATTCTTACTAATAGTCTTTGAACTTCTTTCTCTGTCCTTTTCTTCCGGGCCGTATATTGCTGCCTTTAGCGCTTCAGCATGGAAGGGATCTCAAATGTCATTCAGAATGGCCTCCGCCACACCTTTGGAAATTCAGGTGGAGAGAAACAGGTGCTCGGTTATCCTTATTTTCCTCATTCTCTGCTTTTTCATTCTCTAAGTGAAGGGCTTGAAAGCTGGCAGTTTTACTAATTTACTAAGACTACTGCTTAAATGAGAGAAATGAAAGTTTATTATGTTTATAGTCTTGATAATGCACAGAATTTTCCTTTAGAAAAAAGTATTTTGCAAAATGGACAATAGACTAAGTGCATTCTTAATACATGTGTTAGAGCTCCATTTTCACTCTTAGCTTTGAACAAATAGATATTAACATGATCACATAATAAATTGCATGTGTAGAATATATAATGGTGAAAATAACTAGAATATGCTACACTGAAAGTTTAAGAAACATCCCATTTTGGGGAAGAAAACTAGATGTTGGTGTCTTTTAGACTAGAGTTCTAGGTCAAAAATGTCTGTAGAAGTATATCTTTTTAAATGATATTTATGTGCTTTTAATTTTAAGGTGTATCATGTAGTCTGCAAACTCACTTGTCTACCAAATCAGGCATAAGACCCTATACAAAATAAGACATGGATATGAATGTACAGTCAAATATATAGCAGTTCGCTTTTTATTAACATTTTTGTATAATTTCAGGAATAGCACAAACACGGGGAACATATCGACATTGAGTGTGCTTAAAATTACTTTTCACGTTTTGAAATTTTCACTTCAATAAGAAAAGTCTTCAATTTAGCGTTTAAGTGAACATTGAGAGAGTGCAGAATGTAGCTTGTAGGTAGCTTATCGAAAGAAGGCATTTGAGCCTAGAGTTTTTCTGTATTACTCAAGAAGGGAAATAATCGACATTAAATAATCCTTCATAAAGGGGCTCTATTGTGGGCTGGTTGAATTTTTAAAATTCTGGTGCTTTTCACCTCTCTCAAACCCACAAGATCACAACATAACTTCCAGACTGACCCAACACATGGGAGTGGGGCAGGAAGAGCTGAAAGCGTAGCTAGATAGCATGCACGCCAGGCACGGTCTCCGGCTTCCTGATGCTTCTCTCCACGTCGCCTGACACACTCCTGACACATGTGCTGTTAGTGAAGCCCCAGGAGGGCATGTTTCAGCTGTTTGTGTATCTTTTACAAAGAAACATATTTGATTATATAGTAATCAGGCATCGCCTTGGAGAGATCTATACCAAAAAGATGGAAAATTAAATTTCTTAAAGATTAAACAATTCACTTTTTCTACTTTTCTGAAGCATGGGATCCAGTTATTGTTAAGTAACTATCTTTTTTTTTTTTTTAATGGGATAAAATCACTCAAAAAGGATTAGGAATAGAGCTGAGATTTAGGGCAGGGACTAAGTAATGTGTAGGGCTGAAGAAATTCCAAGGAAAAACCAGTAGATCTCTAGATGAGCATATGCAGATTATACCTAAACTATGCATTTAGGGGGCGGAGGGTGGTGGAGTGGCCAGAATAGAAGAATCTGGATAATAATTTTTAGATTGTGCTTTCACTCTGATACCGTGAGCTGTTACACTAGTGAACTAAGCAGTTTGTCTCAATTTCAGACACGAATTTTCATTATTCATTTCCTTTTAGGCTATTCTTTCACTTTTCTCTTTTCCTTTAATACCTTTAAACATTTATTACTACTTACACAATAATTTAAAATAATAATAACACACCTCTAAAATTATTTGGGTGGGTGTGTCTTTGTTAGTTTCTGGAAGAAGCTGGTATGTGTTTTTAAAGTTGTCAAGTTATTCATGTGACCATTTCGTTCAACCAGAAAGAAATGGTCTGAAATTATTTGGCTGTTGGGAATTACTTTATGCAGGACTGTTGGAACTGTGTGTTTTAGTTCAAATCACTATTTTAAAAGGTTGAAAAATATGTAAAGAGATTTTTAGATAAGACTTCACTTTAAAAATGAACAAATCACCCACAGACCTACTCCTGTGAAATTTTCAATAATGAAAAGGCGAAAAAAATGGATTATTTATGTAGAGGTGGGTAAAATAATGAGCTCTAGCTGAGTCAGTAAGATGCCTGTGTTTGTTACTTAAAGTACCTTGTATTTCATGTTATAAAATAGACCTCGTAACTATCTAACTTTTGCAGATAAGGTAATTCAGATTTAAGTGACTCTTTTTTAACTTGGCAGTATTTGACAACAGTCATTCCTTATGAGAAAAAAAATGGACCACCATCTGTTGAAGATCTTCAAATATTAACAAAAAGTGAGTAAAGAAAAAATTAAATTGTTACCTTGTTTACTTTTGTCTAGTCTAAAATACGGATTTTAGTTGGCTGACTTTGTTGCTGGTACTGTTTTGTTGATTTAGGATAGTAAATGATGGGTGTCATCATTTATTCTTCTGAGAATGAAACTGTAAATGGTTATGACATCAAACAAAACTGAATCTAGAGTTGATTTATATTTGTTTGATTTTCTTGCCTTTTAAAATATTTACAAGCCGAACTTTTGGGGAAAAAATGTAACTTTATTCTTCATCACCTTTGTACGTTTAAGAACATGTCCATTTATCAATAAATAAGGTGTACTTCATAGATCTTATATAAATATAACTGTCAATAACTGAATAGGAAAGATTTAGGAGAAGTGGAGAAGTGTGGCCTAAAACTTTTGTTTTTAAATGAATTTAGACCCCAAGGCAGTATAAGTAGAACATAAAGTGATAGTAATATTTTATGAATATTCATTCAGCAAATGTTCGATGCTGGTCCACTCTGTGCCAGGCCATGTTCTGGGTGCGTGGGATACATTAGTGGACAGAGCAGACAAAAATACTCTTCCTTCAAGGGGCCTGCATTTTAAAATAATTTGTTAGGCTTAAATATACAGTGTATATTGAACGTCTCTTAACGATAGCCATAATTAGCCCTGAATTCTGGTTCTGTCCCTGTTATTTACAGGGTATTCTTGAAAGTCACTTACCTTCTCTGTCACAGTGAAAAATGAGGCTAAAAATAATTGCTCTATTTACCTCATAGTAATTAAGTTAATGTTATATATGTGATTTGGGGTAAGTTAATCACTCAGCCTTGTTTTTCCTGAGGGGTTGGATTTGCTGATCTTTTAGGTTCTTTCTAATTGTAAATATTTGTGATAATTGCTAATTAAAGGGGGTGCCAAATGAGCATCACATGAATAGATAGCGATGATGATATCTGTTTTGGAGACGAAGGACATGGAGGCATGGGTGCAGAGGAGCACAAGGCAAAAAGCGGGTGTCTGTTTACTAGCCACCTTCTTGGTAACCTGAGCTTTTACTGTTTACTTTGGTGAACAATACTTTCAGAACATTTTATACTTAAATATGGATAAATCAAGTGAAGCCAGCTAGTCTAAAATAAAGAATTAAGAGATTAACTGGGTGGCCAGCCCTCTAATTTTCAGGAAGAACTTTATGAAGTTATAAGTGTCCAAGATCACACAGGGGAATGGTAAATTATAGGGCTGGGTCTCTTTAATTCCCAGTCTGCTGTACTTTTAATGATGCTGGCTTTTGGTGTATGATTTTATATAGAAATGAAAACAAATCTAAAATACGATTGGGAGCAGAAATACTGAACATAGTGGTCCTCTTAAGATGGGAACATAAATGCTGCCTAGAAGCCAGGAATTATTGAGAGACCTTGCCTTCTCAGATCAAGGACAAACACTTAGTTGGCCAAACCAAAGTCATAATTCCCACATCAAAATGTCCTTAGGCCGATTCTTAGATGATGTCTTCATAGACTGACACACCTTGGGCTCTTTGGGTGAGTGAACATGTGTGGGGTGTGTGAATGAACGTCCAAGTTAGTAGAGTTATGAGGACCGGATTGTTGTGAAGACAGTAGATGGAAGGATGATGACCTTTGCTTATCTCCTGAAAACTTTGGGGGAGAACCTGAGCCTCTGCTGTCACCACCTGTAGATGTTAACCACAGGGGAAGCCCTGTGGAGACAGTCACAGTGCTTATGCTTATGTTGCCTTCCTGGTAAAAGCTAATGGAGGTGCAATAATAATAGTAATAAGAATTAGAATATTAGTTGTTAATTGTGGCTGTTTACATAGCAGTTATTATGTGCTAAGCACTATTCTGAGTCCTTCACATCTGAATTAGTAACTGAATACTCAACAAGCCTTTGAGACAGGTCTAATTATCATTCTCAGTTTATGGATGAGGAACTTGGTGCTTTGTGTGGTTAAGTAGCTTGTTCAAAGCCCTACAACTAGGAAGTGGCAGAGCCAGGGTGTAAATCTGGAGAAGGCTGACTTGACAGTTATACCATGTTGTATTGTCATCTGTCTGAGGGAAAAGAGTGCAATGTTTTCTCCAGGATGCTCTGGTGAAAATTTGAGTTGTCAGTTACCGCAAAAATGCAGTATTTGTGGGTTTATCTGTACCTGGGTGATCTAGATTTTTTTTTTTAACCACTGTGATAGTAGCTGTTTTTTCTATTTTGTCTTGGCTTAGAGATAAAATTGTCAGATTCCCTTTAGGATGAGGCCGATTGATCTGGGTCCCTCAGTAGTATACAGGAGGTGGTAGGCGGCCTGGCAGGTACTGCTTCGTGGACGTGCCGTCTTCATCTTGGTCTTTTCTTTAAAAGTTTTCAAGAAGGCTGGCAGATATGCTTCTTGAAGAGTATAGCTAACTATTCATTTATCTAAGAGTTTCTCTAGTTTGTGACATCTGCAGCACTCAGGTTCTCTTCTCCAGAATTCATAGAAGTGCACATTATAGGAACATGCTTTCTTCCAGTATTTAGGACAACTGAAGTTCTGTGTAAATAACCAAGTTTCTCTTTCCTGCTGCCACTGTTTCTTAAATCAGGGAAAACTCTCAGGTAATTGGATTATTCTTACCTGATTAAGGACTTATTCAATTAAAATTCTTGAGCATTTGTAGTTGTATTCCCTTATCTAGAAAATAATAATTTGCCTGAATTGGTCATACCATATAATTAAGATTAAGGCTACAGTGAAATTAAATTATATTTTTGATCTGAATTTGAAATTGTTGCCTTTTCCTTCCATCTTTTATTTTGTAGTTCTTTGTGCCATGAAAGAGGACAGTGAAAAAGTTCCGAGCTTGTTAACTGATTATATACTGAAAGGTGAGTTTTATAATGGCTTATGTGCAATGGTTGGGAAGTTCTGGTTAGGTCAATAAGTGCATCGTCTTGCTAAAAGATTAAAAATTACTTCCAAATGCACAAGTTTTATTTCATTTTTGCAGGGTGAGGATACCTGGCTCAATTATGTTACCAACATTATAAATTACGGTTATATAAAATTTATTTGAGGTCCTGGGCTGGAAACCATTTCACAGCTAAATGATAAACACTGAGACAGCGGAGAAAATGCTTTGGAAATATTGCCATAATTATGAGTTATGAGTCTCAGTTGTCGACCCTGGGAGGGTTTGAGAAGGGTGGTCTCTGCCATCTTGGGGCCAATAGAAAGAGAAGGACAGATCAGTGAGGATGGAGGAAGGAGGGGACAGTCAAGTCAGTTAAAGTCCCAAAGGGAACATAAAAAGGATTGGTGTAAGGGACAGGGATGAGAGGAGGAAAAAATGGAAAGAATGGACTTTCATAAACCCAGTAGAGTGAAAAATGAGCCATAAATCTTAGGAGCAAGATCAAGATCTCACAGGATGGGAATAATGATGAAGCAAAAGATGGTTGCTGAAGTTAATGAGAGTGCCTGCTTTGCTCAGGAAAGAGGAAATTTTGGATGATAAAGAGGAGACCAAAGAATTTAATTACAGGCAAAACTAATACTTTGCAACGAAATTATATTTTGAAAAGTAGCAGTTTTCCAGCAGACAGATTTTCAAAGCATCACAAAATGCATCCTGCAGCGTTTGATCCAATTTTGAGAGCAATCTTCTGGTAACTTTTCTCTTTTGGGTTCTCTCTCCTCCACTATTTGTTAGCGGAACATAGGAAGGTTGGGATTCCTGAGATGTTAGATAACTCACGACTTTTCTTCAACCTAGGTTCACAAGGAGCGAATCTCAGTAGTGTACACAGGAGCTCAAACTGAGTAATACCTAAGTATCACCTATGAGAGACTTGATGGGGAGTCAGCCATTAGTAGACAGAGGGCAGAAAAGACTAAATCAACATTATCGTTTTTTCATGAGCTGTTTTTCTGATGAAGGCTTTTTCTTACTACATTCTGAATTTTTTTTAATACCTGACATCTTTGTTTGCTTTTGTGTTGTGCTAGCATTGGTATGAAAGCTGGATTGTTCTGAGGTTTGTTCTTAATACATGTGAAACAGGAATGAGATGAACATAAAGAACATGTCTTAATCTTTAATTATAGTGGGTTCCCTGGGCACTGCCATGAGAGCCAGAGATAAAATGAGCTTCCGACGCATTCTTTAGCTATTTTGTCATTTGACTGCATGGAGGAATTTTATGCCCTAGAGAACGAGTGCTCTGGGGAAAAATAATTTTTAATTTTTTCTTCTAAAATCCAGTATGTAACTGACCTATACTGCATGCTTAGGGAAGCAGCACCCATCAAATTCTGCTCCCGTGTCACGCCGTTGGCTCCAGTCTGTGAGCCCAGGTCTATCTATACTGTACCTGCTTCGGATGCGCTGCTTGTGTATGTTTTGTGGTTTTGTCTTGGCTTTGTATTATAAGGACTGGGTGGAAAAGAAGCAAGGGTTCAGACTAAAGTGATGACACTAGTCCAAGAGAATGAAGAGGGAGTGATTTAATGTTCAGGGGTGTTCAAGGGCATGGGGAAGTGCAGATGTTGGGTGATTTAAATTGCTCTTTTCCACCCATCCTGGAAACCCACAGCCAGTTGACGATTCCTCTCCCTCTGGGACCAGTAGCAGAACATTTGCCTAGGAGGGGGTGTTGCTCAAGGGAGAACTCGCCTTTCCTTTTCTTGGTGGGCTTTTCTCATTGTTGTTTTAACACCAATGACTATGGCTTGGCTCCCTAAACATCACTATAATTTTAATGTGAAGGTGAGAAGTGATTGAATGTAGACAAGTAGCTTCCCTTGGCCTGAGGAAGTTGGGATAAAAGTTGTATGGGCTACTAAAGCTTCTCTTTCTCACACCTGCTAATTACCCCACAGCTGCCTGCTGCCATCCCTTCCTCAACAGTTGTACTAAAGGCTTGTAGTATAGATATGGCTGCTGATCCTAGATAGGAATAAAAATGTACACCTTTGAGTTCACCCGGGAGCCTGTTAACAGTTACAAGCTTCATGGTATAGGGCCAGCGTTATGGGCTTCTATCTCTAAGTGGTACCCTATGAGACATGACCTTTTGGTATCTCATTTCTGGGCAATTCTGGTGTGTCTTGAGATAACTTTTCATTGTTGGGTGTAGCCTTTTAAAAACTTTAAAAATCGCTATTATAGATCCTTGCATTTTTAGTTATTAATGATTTTTATATACATGTAAGATGTATATAAAATGTATATACATCTTGTGTAAATGTGTACAAAATATATTTCTATTTTTTTCCTTCCTCCAGTTCTGTGTCCTACATAGGGTGGCATCACTTCAGGAGTTTTCTTTCGTGGACAAGCTAGATTTCCTATAGCATTATTCTGAAAGCTGGCTACCATTACCTTCCTGCTGTTGGAAACTCAGCACACTTGAACTTGGGTTTGTGATTCAGTATTAATAGATCCTGCCTTCACTAATTCTTTATATTACGAACCAAGAGAAATATGGCACTATTTTGAATTCTACAGATGGTTTTTTGTTAAACACTAACAATTATGAACTCAACTTTGTAAAGAGTAATATTAATTATGCATGTGCATTTATAGTTTTCATTAACTGACAGTATGCCTGTGTGAGTTTTTATGGCTTTTTAGAGCTAAACTGCATTGAAGAACTGGATTAAAGCATTGAGAGATTTACACTATAGCTATTCTTCAGTGACGGTGAAAACCAGCACAGATTTTTATGAGAATTGTAGTATAAATATCACCTTAACAGTATTGGAACTAAACCAATGTGGGCTGTTCTCATAAATAGCTCAACCAGAATGTGTGTGATTTTGGCTTAATTCTTAGTATCAAAACTGTGGTGGTGACTGGTTTTAGGTTTCACCATTGTTTAGATTAAGTTGCCATTTACTTTCAGAATCCTGTTAAAGTTTAGATGTTTGTGTTTTGTTTCACGTGTCTGAAGAAGTGCCCTTTCCTTATGGTGCTTGAGAAACTGTGCTGCAGCATCGCCCAGTTCCCACTACTGTGTTGTTTTATTCATGCCTGTGTGTTTTCCTAAAGTACTAATTTTAGAAACAGCTACTCATGGAATACATCACTACTTGTGAAACACTTTTGCCAGTTCTAATCAAGTCAGTGCTATTTAATAAATGTTGAAAACAGGTAACATACTTGAGAGCTTTATTTTCAGAGTTTTTTGTTGTATTTTGTAATGATTTTTCTTCCCTTTCAGAGCTAGATTCCTTCCCTGTTCCACACATTGGCCATCACTAGAGGGTGTGAGCTGGTGAAACCCTGATTAGCCTCATGATGGTAAGGAGGGCAGAGGGGGCCAGGCTGTGCTGAGCTACTGTGGAAGGACAGAGCCCTGCTCTTTCCTGGGTCTGTGAGACATTCACACCAGCTCTGCGGCTTCCTCCCTTAGGTAACCCGAGTGCAGTGAGTCTAGATAGCCACTCGTGACCCTGGAGGGTCATCAGATAACCTGAAAACAAAAGGACAATTCGTTTTTCTAATCCCGAATGTAGACTCTTTCTGAAAGTTACATGGTGTGATTTAAAGTGTTTATTTGCTGCCAAGAACCAAACTGCAGACAATCTCCTTATAGCTGTTTTCTGAAAACAAAACAAATTGTAGAACTACAGTGCACTCCAAGTGCCATAGATCTATTTTATTCTTCAGGAAATTATATTTGTTTTTCTTTTACAAGAGCACAACAGGAACCAAAGTAAAAGAGTAATAGATACAGCACTCAGGATAAATCATATCTTTAAAATAATAATAAAAAAATTTACACCTTGTCCTATATCCTGTTAGTATTTTCATAATATGGCCATGATTGAAAAAACAAAAAGCAAGCATTTACAATTTTTTTGATAGACTTTTTATGCCAGGAATGGATTAATTATCAACAAAATTTTATAACAATCAGGCTGATGTAAATTTATTTTGGTAACATCATTAACAAATTTATTCTGGAAATAGATAAAAATATTGCCCCTTGATAATAAATCTTTTTCTTTGATGCAAACAGCTAGAACACCTTTTTTCCTTTTTTTGATATTCTAAGACAAAGAAAATGGTTAATCTTCAGATTAATAAATTAGGTCATTATAATAATAAATTAATTTTTTTTAAAGTTCAGCAACCTCTGTCCAAGTATTTACAACAATACTTGAAAGTTCCTTTACAAAACAGAACACATTTTCTTTTCACATTAAGCATACTGGGTATCTGTGTCTTTCACAACAAGCATTTTTAAACGAGAAAAAATCAATGCACAAATGGGTAATTAGTATAAAAGTGCTAAGAGCTGTTTGAAAAGTTAACACTATACAGTCAGTTATATTTGAGGCAAACTACAACAAACTTCCAGCTTATTACGGACAATATTCCAGTAGTTGTTTCAAACAGTTGTTTGAAAAAAAAAAATACAGGAGCTGATTAGTGATGCAGATAAACTGCCGTCAATGTCTCTGGCCAGTGAGGGAACTGAAAACCAAGTGAAAGCAAAGCCAAATGAGGAGGAAGATTCACTAAAGGAATACCTTCTCCATAGCAGGTGTGATGCTGACTGCTCAAGGCAGGTGCGTACACACGTATGTATACTCAAACGCACACATCTTTCTTCCCAATTAAACTAAGTAGAATGAGATTTTGTTATTCAAAAATTTGTGAGTGATCAAAAGTATTGATATGGAATGCCTGTTTGTCTTTGTTCTGGTTAAAAATCTCATAAAAATACATTCAACAGGAAAACACGAATTGTATGTGTATAAATATATATGTATATATATATTATATACACATGCACACAAATACTTTTGTTTTTTGAAGCATTAAGATAGTTACATAAATATTCCTATAATTGCTAAAGTTTAAAGAGGCATATTTTTTTGAGCTTCAACAAAGGTGCTTGAATAAAATACAATTAAAATGAAGTAGTTTCTATTCTGTAGGATCAGTATATAATAAGGAAAAAAAAAATCCCCAGTCTTTTTTAAAAAAACGTTTCTTCTTAAGCTAGAGCTTCAACAAAAACTATGAACAACCAACAATATAACAGAACAAAGCAACAACAAACAATGAAGTATATAGCCCCTGGAAATACCTGGTGTCCTTCACCCTCTCCCTCCTTCCTGCCACGTTGTAGTCAGAAAAAGCTCCAGTGCTCACATCGAGAAATGACTTTAGGTCCTGTGCATGTGCTGACTCTGCTAGGAACTGGCTGATTGGCTTGGAAGAAAATGAAAGCAGCAAAAAGTATAACTGTATATATCCTTAATAACCCGCTTTAGAGAAATGTTGCTCTCACATTTCTCTTGCTTCCTCATCACCTACTGCAGCTGTGACTGTATAGAAAAGAAACTTGTGGCTTTAGACCTGGGATGGCTATCAAGAGGTTCTGATGCGCTTGTCTGGCAGTTCTAAGGTGGTTATGGCCACTGGATCGCAAGGCCTTTTTTTTGTTTCCTGCTCATTCACGCCTGAGCTTTGCCGCAACCAGTGCAGTCTTTAGAGCAACAGGAAAAAATATCCTCTGGGCCACTGAACTGCTTTTATTTTATGGGATTTCTTTCTCCCCGAGCCAAGCTGACCAATTTGTCTTCCCAACACCACCCTCCCACCCATTTCCCCAACCAAACTCACTGTCTCCACCCCGAAATATCTCTACAGCTATATTACAAGCAAATATATCTTAGCAACTTTAAAAACTTTGGTTCTAAGAAAACACTTGGTCAGTTATCTTGAGGAAAAGTGGGAATGCTTGTTCTGCACATGGCCGTAGCCAGAGCTCATCCCAGTCAGTTCTTAGCGCTGTACTGTACATCAAGTCACAATCCAATACAATCCACTAAGCAAGTGCACAAATTCTAGTTTTCTTTTAAGAGCAGACTTAATTGCTTTCTGTCTTCTAAAACCTAATCCAACTTGCCTTTCTTCACACCGTTTGGTAGAAATTGTCTGCCTGTAGATGATTCTGTTTTTGCATGCTGTAGAAGCCACTGAATCTTGCATCTGGTTCAGCAATTCTTAGCATTCTCTGGGCACTGTCCCCCTGGACTCTGGTTCCTTTCTTGCAGTCCACAGATACCAGCTGATTATTTAAGGAAGAAGGCTAGTGAGAAAAGGAAAATCAGAGTTAGCTGCTTCCTGTATCCCAAATTAACACAAATGTATCTAATTCAAGTGGGATAATAGCTTCAGGACACTGGTGGGCAGACTGTATGTGGAGTTTACATCCTGTTCTAGTACCTACTACAGTTTTATGAAGGATACTGACAAACTGTTTAAAGGTGAAATGTCAATAAATGTCAAATGGAGAAGATGGGGGAATTGAAAAAAGTATTAGTGGAGTGACATAACTACTTTCAAATCCTTGAAGTGCAGACTAGTCCTTAAGAGGGGTTGAATGAGTAAAAGTTACCAAACAGGAAGATTTCAGATAGACAATTCTGAATCAGGCTGTATAACAGCATTGTGGGGTGGGCCTGCCCATCTGTATCTGGTCCCTCCATGTACTTTATGAGTGGGTCTCTTTTCCTGGCTTCGCACAGTGAGGACTGTGTCTTGCTTAGTCCTCGTCTGTACCTTTGCCTCAGTCTTGCCCTGTATCCTGCTCATTCACCTAAGCTGTGCCCAATGCATACCTGTCAAAAGAAAATCAGGGGCAAGGTAACCATCTGATGGGATTTTATAGGGAAGTTTAATCTAGATGGTAAACTGGATTAAAATAATTATTTAGGCTATTTTCAATTCTTAAGGTTGTATGATTTTCTTAGGGGAAAAAAAAAACTAATTCAAAAGGTAGAATTAAAGTTGGAAGGAATCAGGATTTCTCAATGAAAATGAATTTTCTTGCCATTTAAAATAGGCAAATTTGACAACAAATACATACCCTTTCTCCCCGAGGATGAAATGTGCCTGTCTAGTATTATACAGTCTCTTCATCTTTCGCTTCCTTTCCCCTCTGCTTGCCTCAGACACGTCTCCCTGTTCTTTGGACTTCTGTACATCCTCAGTCATCTAGCACTCCTCTTACCTCTCCTGAGTTTCATAACCCTTCCTTTATGATTTCTTTTCTCTAATTCTAAGTTGATAGATCATTGAGAAACACCAGATGCCCAACTTTTAATTTCTCACATAAATGACAATGACTTAGCAATCAATCCAGAGGTACCTGTTTATTTGAAAACTAAAATAAATCCAGGAAATTGGGTCTGTGAAAAGTCAGGAGTCATTAACCAATGGATGATGGACAATTCATCTAATGATTGATCCAGCCCTGTGCTGTACTAGATATTTGATTGATTGTTACAGCTTGATATGTATTTGAGGCTACGACGAGCAAAGTAAAAACTTCATTAGCTAATATAAAGTATCATACAATTTAAGGAAATAAATTGCTTTCCTAGTTTGATCATTCAGAAGACTGAAACTCTTTCAGGGCCATACCTTAGTTGGTGTTCGATACCAGCAAAGCAGGGGTATCCACTGTTTCTTCTGATTGATGAATAGGAATGCTATTATAATAGAAAGGCCTATTATGATGGGAACCACGACTGAGGCTATGGAGTCCAGCGAAGAGTCTTCTCCTGGGGGCCGTCTGTTATTATCTCTGTAATCTACCTGGAGGTGACCCATATCTAGGAAAAAAAAAATTACAAGCATTAATTACCTACACCGGAATTTTTAAGGATTATTTTAATTACATTGCAAATACAGGTCAGCAATTTGGCTTTATTGATTCACAGTACTAAGGCTAAAACATGATTGACATCTACCGTTGATCCAAAGAGGACTTATGAGAGGACCAAGTTCTTAAGAATGGATGTAAAAAAGGAAATATTAGAGTGAGGAGGTTAATAATTGGGCAGGATGATGGTTTTAGCTAGTCAAGAAAATAAAATTCTTATGTTGGCTTTAAAAAGTGACTAAAACTAGACTACTGAAAATATTTTTATTAATATTAAACTATACTGGCTTCTAAGATTTTAAAGCAGAAACATTAGCTTGGCCTCCTGCTTAAGAGCAAATAGGAGACTAGGACAAAGTATATTCTTTTTATTAGTGTAATAGCCACAACTAATTACTAGTGTAATAGTAAAAACTTAGCCAGAATCGAGAGCTTGGTCTTTTGACTGATACTCTGGTTTGCTGAGCTCTAAGC